ACTGGTGGCCCAAGATGCCTCAATACATAGCCCAGTACGCCTCAGGATGCGACACCTGTAACCAGGTGAAGATGTTCCCATCTCGAAAAGTCGGGAAGCTCATCCCAAACAAAGTCCCATCCTGCAGGTGGCAAGTGATCTCAGTAGACACAATTGGCAAGCTCCCAGACTCCAAGGGGTACAATGCAATCCTGGTGGTGGTGGACCGGCTCTCCAAGTGCATCCATGCAATCCCTATGGTCACCACAGCAGACTCGGCAGGCATAGCCTGGCTCTTCCTTGAGCATGTCTGGAGACACCACAGCCTTCCAGAAGAGGTGCTCAGCAACTGAGGCAGTGCGTTTGTCTCCCATTTCTCCATGGAGCTGGCAGCCCTCCTAGGAATCAAACTTGCCCCCTCAACAGCCTACCACCCACAAACCGATGGCCAGACCAAGCAAGTCAACCAGGAGATAGAAACCTACCTCCAGGTGTTCGTCAACCACAGACAGGATGACTGGGCCAACTGGCTGCCACTTGATGAGTTTGCCTACAACAACTGCATCCATTCCTCCACCCATTGCACCCCTTTCAAGCTTGACTCTGGGCAGCATCCATGCATGGGAACCGAACTGACCCACACATCTGAAGTTGAAGGGGCTAATGACTTTGCCTCTTGGATGATGAAAATGCAGGAGGAGGCAAAAGCAGCACTGGAGCACGCAGTGGATGAAATGGCATGGTATTATGACAGGAACCGGAGAGCAGCACCAGCATACCAAGTCAGGGACAAGGTCTGGCTCAACACCCAGAACTACACAACAGACCGACCAACCAAGAAACTTGACCACAAGTGGATTGGCCCTTTCCAGATTGTTAAGGTAGTATCCCTGGCAGCGGTAAAGTTACAGCTCACAGCCTGGCAGAGGGGAGTCACAAACATCTGCCCCTATACCCCTGATGGAATTGCTGAACGCCAGACAGACCCACCCCCAGGCCCAGACGTCATAAATGGGGAAGAGGAGTATGAGGTGGAGAAAATCATGGACTCCAGGTACCGATATGGACAGCTCTGGTCAAATTCTTGGGCTGGCCAAATTCGGAAAATGAATGGCTCCCCAGGGAGAACCTGGAGAACTCCCCAGACCTCATAAAGGAATTCCACCAGACTCACCTGGAAGCCCCCAAACCAGCAAAGACAAAAGAACCCTGCCAACCAAGAACCACAGCCACTTCAAGGAGAATGTCATATCCATACAATCCTGACCTCCGCTCCGGGCTCCCGGAACTCCGAACCCGACTTCCGGAGTCCTACTTCCCTTCCGTCACCTTCTCCTTGCCGACTCCCACGAGGTTACCCCACCTCCGGCTCAGACACCACCTTTGGTCCGACTCCGGAACATTCCGGGTCCAACCCCAACCTCAACACCTTCCAGATGAGTATGCAAAACCTAAGCTCCTGACTCCGGACCTCCGCTCCGGAATCCCATTCGCATCTCCGTCTCCGGAACCTCCGGTCTTAGCTCTGACCTCGGACTTTGACCCCACCTCCGCTTATACCCATTGTATTGGTTAGCTCATTCCATTTAATTATGTTTGCCAATATTCCGGAGTTTAACTTCCGAGTTCAGACTTTCCGGACTTACCTCGGACCTTGCAACTATTGCATTGTCCTATTCAATTCCGCTATTCTCCCTCATTCCTATTTGGGCTGCTGCTTCCTTTCTATTCAGTCAGCTAGCCATTCCCCACTCCCAACCTCCTTCCTTCCTCCTTGGGCCTTGGCCCTTCATTCCTCCTTTGAGAAACACCATTGAGTCAAACCCTTGACCCTCGGTGTTGTTCCTCTTTCCATCTCCCTTTGTCTCCTTTCGTCCTACCCTCGCTCCTTTTGATTCCGGACCCCTCCTTATATACAATGTACATAGTAACTTGTAACCTCAGTCCGAAATCGACATGAATTCCCCCAAGAGACTTTCCCTCTGCTAGATCCGAAATTAGGGACCCCTAGGACAACCAGCAATGGCACAGCGCTCCGCCTGAGTCGCTGAGGCCGAGGTCCTTCCACGCTAAGTCTCCGATTCCATTCCGGAGTCGTCCGAATCCGCCCGGTTCTAACAGAAGGGGGGTGATGTCAGGGCACAGCCCCTGACCCCACACACCCTCAGGTACCCTTGCCCCATTTTCTCCTATTTTTCCCTTCACTGTTCCACAATCCTGCATGCATGGAGACCCATGGGAACATTCTGGGCAAGTTACTTGCCCAGAAACCATCACAGCCATGACTGTGGGAACTTTCTGGGTGAGCAGCTTGCCCAGAATCTTCCCACAGGGGGTGCCAATTATGGAAAGTCAGCAAAGAGCCAAAAACTGTATAGTTCCCAACTTCCATTTGTAGTGGCTTCACAGGAGGTTGAGAAGGTTACCCTTCTTCTCAACTCATTTCCTGTGAAGGCTGGGGCTAGCCCCCTCAGTGAGTTTGAGGATCTCAGACTGGGACTAGACACCCCAGTAACTAGGAGGATCTCCCTGGGCCTGTCACAGAACAAGGGCCGGACCCTGACAGCTGGATAGAACTTGCAATGACAAGGCTAAATAAGAGGCATATGAAGTCAGATGAGTTTCATGTAGCAAACACCAAAGAGAAATGGATTCTTCCATGGAAGGCACAGCTTTGGTAGGGTGACCAAGGGAATGGAACAAGCAAGCAAGATTTTGGAGTGATTGAGCCAAATATGGGGTGTATGATGTTGGGTGAATGGCAACGAGCCTGGGGCAGAGCTTTACACATTCTTTGATCACCAGCAGCACCTCAGAATGACAGCCCAGATTGTCCAATGATACCTTAAGATTCTGGAGTGATTGAGCCAAACCTGGGGTATATGGTGTTGGGTAGATAGCAACAAGCTTGCACCAGAGCTCCACACTTTCTTCAACCACCAGGAGTGCTGTAAGCAAGCTAGGGATCTAACCCAGCAGGCAAACAGGAAAGGATGGGGATGGATTGGTATCCAGCAGGTCAGGAAAAAGGGGTAGTGGGAATTGGTGAAAATGGTCCAGTGGCATCAGCAAAAAATTGTTATGCTCCTGAGTGCTCTGGAGTATGGAGAGCACTGGGAGAATCAGGAGGAGATTGGCCGGTCCAGGAACAGCTCGTTTCCTCTGGAGTTGGCCAGGTACTCCAGGGCACTCCCAGGAGGGCATGGAGCATTGCTTTGTGCACAAACATATCCAGTAAATACAATTTAAATGCTTCAAAGTGTATAGGGGTGAGAAGCTTCTGGGAGCTCCTGGAGCATTTGAAAATGAAAAGGAAAAAAGAGGGAAGATTCCCCATGAATACCTCCTACCACAAGACTAACACAACAAGACACTGCTTAACATTTAGATCAAACACTATACTATATATCAAGGACACTGAGACTCACCAATACACAATCAAAATTTATGGCCTGATATATGATTAATCTGGCAACTTCATCACTTTTGGGCTTGCAGAATATGGAGGAGGGGGAAATGGGGGAAATGGGGGGAAATGGGGGGGGAAATGGGGGAGAATGAGGGGGGAAATGAGGGGGAAATGAGGGGGAGAATGAGGGGGGAATATAGAGGGAAATGAGGAAAATTTGAAAAATAGGGACTTCTAAAAAGTCGAAAAAATAATTAGGGAAAAATCAAAAAAAATTCAGGAACTGTAGTGCCTTTGAAGTGCTTTCAGGATATATAATTATTTGCAAAATTGAGGAAGAAATGATGGAGAAAAATGGAAAATACTTTCAGAGACCCAAGAAATAATGAGAACTAAATTGATGGGAAAGTCTGAAAATTGAATAGGAAAGTGAGGGGAACCCTTGTAGCATTGTTATTTTCTGCTGTTCTAATTTTTCCTGATTGTTCTTGGTCTCACTCCCAGCTGCTCCTGGATACTCCTGGATACTCCTGGAAGCTCCTGAAAGCTCCTGGGAGGGTCCAGGAGCAGCTGGGAGTGAGACCAAGAACAATCAGGAGAAATCAGAACAGCAGAAAATAACAATGCTACAAGGGTTCCCCTCACTTTCCTATTCAATTTTCAGACTTTCCCATCAATTCAGTTCTCATTATTTCTCAGGTCTCCAAAAGTATTTTCCATTTTTCTCCATCATTTCTTCCTCAATTTCGCAAATAATTATATGTCCTGAAAGCACTTTAAAGGCACTATAGTTCCTGATTTTTTTTTTTTGATTTTTTCCCTAAATTTTTTTTCAACTTCTTAGAGACCAAAATTTTCCTCCCACTGCTCCTGGCACATTGCATACTCCTCACCACTCCCAGCTGCTCCTGAACCCCCTCCCAGGAGAACACTATTGGCTCCAGGAGTGCCCAATCTGCTGTTTTGTCTCCCACATGCTCCAGCCACTCTTGATGCTCTGGAGCATAATGGACCTTTGCTGATGTGCAGTGACTTGGTGGTTTCTAGTCTGAGGGGAAAGGTAGATACATCCTCATGTACAGTATATATGAGAAATGATCAGGAAGAAATGATGGAAAATATCCAATGAGTCCCATGTGCTTAGGTGGGTCATATCAGCAACAAACAATATTGTAAAAAGGAAGGGAAAACAATAATGAAATAATAAAGCAATAAATGGCATCCAACCAAAAATATCCAACTCTATCCATCACCAATGAACTCCTGCTAATCATGTATCCTAATACTCCTAAATGGCACATTTCCAATGATACCAACATTGTCCAAATCAGTCCAGTGGTTGCTGAGATAAGTGAAATCCAATCTGAGTGTGGCCACACTGCTGGTGGGCATGGGAATTTGGTCTGTGGGGACTGGAAACGTGTATGAAAAATAGGGAAAAAATCGTGGAAGGGTAGGAATAGTATATGAGGACATGTGAGATGCATTTTATGAAGTGGGGATGTGCTGGTATGGGGAAATCACGATATTTGGTTTGTTTGTGCAGTACCAGCTGTGCCTGCCTACAGCACCTCAGAATGATGGCCCAATTGGTGCAATGAAAGGTTACAATTTATGAGGATTGAGCCAAATCTGGGGAATATGATGTTGGGTGAACAGCAAGGAGCTTGTGCCAGAGCTTCATGCTTTCTTTGATCACCAGGAGCACCTTGGAATGACAGCCCATATTGCCCAATGGTACCCTAAGACCCCGGAGCGACCGAGCCAAATCTGGGGTATATGATGTCAGATGAACAGCAACAAGTTCATGCCAGAGCTTCACACTTTCTTCAATCACAGGGAGTGGGAGCACTTCGAAATGACATCCTAGTTTGTGCAGTGATACCCTAAGATTGCAGAGCGATCAAGCCAAGTTGGGGGTGTAGGATTCTGAGCCTGCTGATGCAAGACAATGGCAGAGTGCTACGGAATCATTTGCCAACTCATACACCTCCTGAAATCTTGAAAAGAAGGCTTCATTCGCTCTCACTTCGTCAAGCACTTGAATTAATGGGTGAATGTCTTCCTTTGAACAGCGATCAACACTCAACTGAACATGAATGAAGAATGGCTTATGGAGCTTGTTGATGACTCATACCTTGGCCCACTCGGGAAACAATGATACGCTAATGTACGTTTCCGTTCTTATACAGACTTCCACCCAACACGTTATATGCTGATTTAAGAATGTGCGAACCGACACACCGAGCTCTCCTGAACTTCAATGAGGTGATACACGATATACCGACATGAGTAACTGAGTTGTTCAGACAGCGTCTCTTGAGGGATACCTGGCAGTGCTTCCTTTTCAGCCAAATCACCAATCAGCCCCAAACCCTCCACACAGCCAAGATCCTTATTCAAAATTTCAGTGAAACGCAGGGCCATCGTCACATTCACCCTGGTCGTATCCACCGCGTAATGATGATGGTTGGGCGATTCAGGCTCAATTTGGCCCATGAGGAAGTCATGGAAAGACTGGTGAATGATACGAATTGGCGTGTCGGAATATGGGTCCCATGAGAGGAGGGGAGTGAGCTCAGATAACGTGTCATGGAAGATTTTAGGAAGGGTGACAAAACTGTGTCCCACGCTGGAGTAGACAGTGGTTGTTGGGCAATTAAGACCGCTCCCATAACAATTGGGTAGTCATGGACAAAATCTTCATCCTTCCAACTACACTTGTCCAGAATGCTTGTATACAGGCCATCCATCATTCCTTCAGGAGAAAGTGTTGATCGGTTCGTACCCAGTTGAGCAGCCTCTCCAGTGTTCTCCTCGGATTCTTGCCACTCAACTTCATATAATGGAAGACAACGCTGATCCAAATGAACAAGCCACTAGCCTTCTCCAATATCTTGTGGACTAACACATCCTCTTCAATGGATTCACTCAGACTAGGATGGGCACCTTCAGACCTCTGTCAGGGACTCGTCCGGGGTCGAGGGGGTCCGGGTATAACGTCCGGGACTGAGAGCCTGGCGGGGGGCGGATCGGGCGTGCGTACTGACAGGCCCGATGTGGGACAGCAGTCCCTGGCCACTTAGACTGAAGTGGAAAGTTGAGAAGAAGGCTACTTCTTCGGTTCCCACTTCAGGTTCGTTTATATACATGTGGCTTGGATCACATGACGGGTGCCACGTCACCCTCGCACACAGCCGTAACCACCCGGGTGTCTCCGTGGGAGATCCCGAGGGGATCTGGTGCAGGCGCGCGTGCTGGGCACAGCGGGAAGTCGCCCGAGGTGCCCGGGCCGGGTACATGGTGGGCGCGCTGCAGATGGGTCAGTTGTACATTGATACAGAGAAAGTCGTCCGTGTAGAATAAAGAGAGAATAAAGGAGAAGTAAGATAAGGAGAAACTGAGGAGGGGAGGATGAGGGGGAAGAAGGGAAAGGGGGAGGAGGTAAGGAGGGGTGGACCGGCGGGGTACCGGGTCAGGTTGGGCCGGGTGGAGCCGGGTCAGGTGGGTGTGCCCTGACATCACCCCCCCCTTAAGCCGCTTTGCCTCGAAGTGGCCAGGTGGTTCTCCCTTTCTCTCCCTGGGGCTTGGGGGTGCGTCCTGTGAAATTCTTCGATTCGGTCGGGGGCATGGGTTAGGTGGTCCCGCTGGAGCCATTGGTTTTCAGAGTTCGACCAGCCAGTGAACTTTACCAGATACCAGAGTTTCCGGCGTAGCCACTTAGAGTTCAGTATCTTCTCGACCTCATACTCTTCCTCTCCTTCTACCAGTTCCGGGCCTGGGCGTGGGTCAGCGGGTCTTTCTGCGATACCGTCCGGGAGGTGTGGCCTGACGTTCGTCACGGACACAACTGGGTGGATTCCCTTCTGTCGGGCGGTGAGCTGGAGCTTAACGGCGGCCGGGGAGATGACTTGGGTGATCTTAAAGGGGCCAAGCCACTTGTGGTCCAGTTTCTTAGTCGGACGGTCGGTCGTGTAGTTGTAGGCATTGAGCCAGACTTGGTCACCCTCTCGATACTTAGGGGCCGGGTCACGGTCCCGGTCGTAATATCGTGCCATCTCGTCCGCTGCGTGCTCTAGGGCTGCCTTTGCCTCCTCTTGCATTTTCATCATCCTTGATGAGAATGCATCGGCGGCTTCCACCTCGGATGTGCGCGTGGGTTCTGTCCCCATCCTGGGGTGTTGGCCGGTGTCGAGTTCAAAGGGGGTTCGGTGAGTGGAGGAGTGAACGCGGTTGTTGTAGGAGAATTCTGCTAGCGGGAGCCAGTCCGCCCAGTCGTCTTGGCGGTGGTTGACGAACACCCGGAGGTAGGCCTCGATCTCTTGGTTGACCCGCTCCGTCTGTCCATCCGTCTGGGGGTGGTAGGGCGTTGAAGGGGTCAGCTTGACACCTAGGAGGTCTGCCAGCTCCTTCGAGAAGCGGGAGACAAAGGCGCTCCCTCTATCGCTGAGGATCTCTTCCGGGAGCCCATGGTGTCTCCAGACATGCTCCAAGAAGAGTCGTGCGATACCCTCCGAGTCCACAGTCGTCACGGTGGGGACCGCGTGGATGCGTTTGGACAGCCGGTCTACTACGACCAAGATGGCATTATATCCTCTGGACTCTGGGAGCTCCCCTATCATGTCCACTGAGATGACCTGCCAACGATGGGTGGGGATCTTATTCGGGGTAAGTTTCCCAACCTTTCGTGAGGGGAAGGGTTTGACGCGATTGCAGGTGTCGCATCTGCGTACATATCGTCCGACATACTCAGCCATCCGGGGCCACCAGTAGTCACGGGAGACGAGTTCCAGGGTTTTCCATCGCCCTGGGTGCCCCGTCGCCCGTGAGTCGTGGTGTAGCCGTACCAGATCATGGCGGAGCTGGGGATCTTTTGGGACATACACCCTTCCCCGGTACAGGATCAGGTCACCCTGCTTCTCCCATTCGTCCGACCTTAACATCCCTTCACCCAGTTCTCGCATGGCCTTCACTACCTTCTCATCATGGTCCCTTGCCTCACGTATCCTTCCCAGAATACCCGCCTCTTCACCTTCTACCGAAACTGCCTCTGTCGCGCGGGCTTCAAACCAGGCGGGTTGGAGAAGAGTTAGCCCCTCGTTGTCGTCTCTCCCCTTCGGGTGGTCAGCACAACGGGAGAGTGCGTCCGGCTTCCCCATGAGCTTCCCAGGACGGTGGACGAGGGTGAAGTGGAAGCGGGAGAGGAAGAGGGTCCATCTGGCTTGGCGTCGATTCAGCCTTTGGGCCGTCCGGAAATAGCTCAGGTTGCAGTGATCGGTGTAGATCTCAACCCTCTCTTCAACGCCTTCTAGGAAGTGCCGCCACTCTTCAAGGGCTCGGACGATCGCCAGCATTTCCTTGTCGTACACTTCGTAGTTGCGTTCTACGTCCGTGAAGCTTTTGGACATGAACGCTACCGGGTGAAACTCCCCATCCGACTGGAGCTGGGAGAGGACTGCACCGGTTGCGAAGTTCGAAGCATCGCATTCGAGCTTGAAGCGGCCGGAGTCTGAAGGGAAGGAGAGGACGGGTGCAGTAGTGACGGCTTCTTTAAGGGCTAGGAAGGCACCGTCCTCATCCGGGCCCCAATTCCAGGCTTGGGTTTTCCGGGTCAGCTTGTGGAGGGGGCGTGCTTTCTCTGAGAAGTCCTTGATGAACCGGCGATAGAAGTTCACGAACCCTAGGAAGGACTGCACCTCCTTCACTTTGGTTGGGACCGGCCAGTCAAGAACTCCACGGACTTTCACAGGATCCATCGCCATGTTGCCCTCCGAGATGACGAGGCCCAAGTACTCAATCCGTGTCCGCTCAAATTTACATTTTTCGGGCTTCAGGAAGAGCTTCCTCCTTCGCAGCGTCTCCAGGACCTCCCGTACTACCCTCCGGTGTTCCTCTAGGGTCGCGGTGAAGATGAGGATGTCGTCCATGTAGCAAATGACGACTTCCCAGTCGATGAAATCCCGAAGGATGTCGTTCATCATGGTCTGGAAGGTCGCGGGGGAGTTGCACAGGCCGAAAAACATCACCATGGGTTCAAATAACCCCCGGTTGGTCGCGAACGCTGCCTTCCACTCGTCCCCATCTTTGATCCGGACGTTGTTGAACCCCCAACGTAGGTCCAGGGCCGAAAAGTACTTGGCGTTGCGAAGGCGGGCGAGAACGTCTGAGATGAGGGGGAGCGGGTACGAGTTCTTGACCATGATTTCGTTCAGTTTCCGATAGTCTTGGACTAAGCGCAACGACCCGTCCTTCTTCTTGACGAAGAAGACTGGCGCCCCCATCGGGGATTTGGACGGGTGTATACGCCCGTTCTGCAGGTTTTCCCGTAAGAACTCGTCCAGTTCTTTCTGCTCGGGTCGCAAGAGAGGGAAGGTCTTTCCTCTGGGTAGCTTCGCGTCTGGCACCAGGTCTATGGCGTGGTCCCAGGGCTTCCGGGGGGGTAGCTGGTCAAAGGCTTCCTTAGAGAACACGTCCCGGAAGTCCTGGTAGTGCTCTGGTACCAACATCTCGAAGGGCACGGGCTCTGCCCCCGGGTCGTGGGCCTCCTGGGCCATCCGCTGGGATGGCGTCATGGTTGCTCTCAGGTCATGTCCCCACCCCGGGGGGAGGATCGCAGCATAGATCCCGTCCCCAGGCTCTACCGTGAGGTCTTGGTCGTCTCCCACTCGCGACCCCCTGCAGGAGGATGGGCAGCGGGACATGACGACCTTCTGTCGTGCCCAGTCCACCTCTGGGTTGTGATGCAGCAACCATGAGTGCCCTATGATGAGGGATTGGCGTCCCAGGTTTGCAACTGCAAAGCGGGCCCGTTCTGTATGTCGTCCGAACGTCAGGAGGGCTTCTAGTTCTTCCGTTATGGCCCCATTCTCGTTCGGGGTGCCATCGACATTGCGGACGGGTATGGGCTGTGGGAGCGGGGTGGTCTCGAGCCCATGCTTCCGGACGAACTCAGGGCTCACGAAGTTCCCGGTGGCCCCTGAATCCAGGAGGGCTGACACTGATATGGGGGCGAGAGAGGTCAGGGCGGTCAACGTCACCGTGAGGTTGAGTGACCTGGGGGATTGTTTGGAAAGGACGTAAATGGCGGGTGGAGACACCGCTACTTCGGGTGTTAGCTCTGGGCGTCTCTCACTTCTGTGGGTAGAGGATGCGCTTTTCCTCTTTTTCTTTGCGATAACTCGATGGAATTTCTGCAGTGGCTTTGACTCGCGCACGTTGCGGTATTTACACGGGTTATCTTCTACAGGCGGCCGGGGCGCATCCCTCACCGGTCGCCTTCCTGAAAATCCTCTTCCTGGGGGTCTGGCCCCGTCTCTCCCTCTTCTGCCTCTGGTCCCTCACCCAATTGCCTCTTCAGCCCTTCCATCAACGCTCGTAGGTCCTCTGGATGCAGGCGTCGGACTCGGTGGACCTTAGGGTGCGGGCACTCTCGTGTGACATGGCCTGGGGCGTTGCAATTGTAGCACAACCCCTTCCGTCTTTGGTCAGTCCTCGATCGGTCGAGGTCCATTGGCTGTGGACCTGTTCCTGGCGTGGGACGGGTTGTGGGCGTTGGGGGTGCGGGTGCGGGCGTAGGTCGCGAGGTGGTGGGTGTGGGCCGCGCGTAGGGGGGGGTGGTGGCTAGAGGGGGTCTGGTTGGTGGGAGTGGGGGTCTAGGTGGGGGTGCTCGTGGCTGGGTGGCCTGGAAACGTCGCCACTGGTTGTCGAGGAGGGTGGCCTCGCGTTTCCATTCAGCCCAGGTGGTGGGCATGGGGCGGAGACGGTAAATGCTCTCGCGGAGCCGGGCGTTGATCGCTTGCTCAAAGCGGTCGACCAGCCCTACGTCACCCAGTCTTGAGGCAGGCCCTAATATCTCGAACTCCTGGATGACCTTGTCCACGGAGTCGCTCCCCTGTCGGATGGCCGCCAGCTTCTGCCGGGCGGTGGCTTCCCGATTTGGGTCCTGGAACATGTCGTCGAGTTCCGTGTTGAACTCGTCCATGGTGAGTGCCGGGGACCCTGCCGTCAACAGCGAGATCATGCGTTGCGTTGCCCATGCTCCTGCCGGCCCTCCCTTCATGTAGGACAACACGAAGAGAATCTGGGAGAGGGCGGTGGGGAACTCGGACGTGCGGACGTGGAAGTAGATTCCACATTCGGCTTTGAAACGGTCCAGGTCCTCACTGGCTCCCGAGAAGGGCGTGGGGGGGGCGACCTTAGGTGGCTTGGGTCTGGGGGCAGGTGTGGGAGCGGGTGCGGGGATAGGCGCGGGTGCAGGCGCAGGAGCAGGTGGGGGGTGGTTAAGGACTTGGTTTTCCACAATAGCCTGCAGTTCCTGGAACCGGGCTAGGAGGTCATCGTACTGTTCTTCCGTCACCATGGCAGGGGAGGCAGGGGAGGCGGGGGAGATGAAGTTGAAGCCTTCTTCTGCTGTCAGGGACTCGTCTGGGGTCGAGGGGGTCCGGGTATAACGTCCGGGACCGAGAGCCTGGCGGGGGGCGGATCGGGCGTGCGTACTGACAGGCCCGATGTGGGACAGCAGTCCCTGGCCACTTAGACTGAAGTGGAAAGTTGTTATTATTATTAAAGGAGAAATATTGTACTACTTACCTGAAGTGGAAAGTTGAGAAGAAGGCTACTTCTTCGGTTCCCACTTCAGGTTCGTTTATATACATGTGGCTTGGATCACATGACGGGTGCCACGTCACCCTCGCACACAGCCGTAACCACCCGGGTGTCTCCGTGGGAGATCCCAAGGGGATCCGGTGCAGGCGCGCGTGCTGGGCACAGCGGGAAGTCGCCCGAGGTGCCCGGGCCGGGTACATGGTGGGCGCGCTGCAGATGGGTCAGTTGTACATTGATACAGAGAAAGTCGTCCGTGTAGAATAAAGAGAGAATAAAGGAGAAGTAAGATAAGGAGAAACTGAGGAGGGGAGGATGAGGGGGAAGAAGGGAAAGGGGGAGGAGGTAAGGAGGGGTGGACCGGCGGGGTACCGGGTCAGGTTGGGCCGGGTGGAGCCGGGTCAGGCGGGTGTGCCCTGACAACCTCGCAGCTGAGCGCGGATGTAAACGGTGCAGTCATGCTTGTTTGCATCATCCAAGAGATCCATTCTGAAGCGTTCGATCGGGAAAGCAGGGGAGAGAAAATGATCAACAAGATCAAAATGTCTTGAGGTGGCAAAGAATTTGATGTTGGATGGCAATCTCGGCACTTCTTTCCAGAGTATATCAGCAAGGTATTCGAAGACTTGCGGGCATCAACAATGACCACCAAAGGACCACTGGAGGGCGATGCCCTCAGGCGGAGAGGTCCGGCCATGAGCTTCTGGAATTGCACCGAGAAAGGTGCAGTTGCGAGGGTTGGATCATCCTTAAGAATGGATATGACAGAAGCACAATATGAGGGATCCTGCATTGCTAGAGATCGAGCCATGCCACTGAACAGGTGATCCGGCTGCGACTGCTCACCCGCTTTGAAGAAAAATGTCAACAACAGTAGCCCCTCACTCACACACTTTTCCGCAGTTGAATGAGCAATGGATGTCTTTCCAGCTCCTGCCACCGCCATCAGTAGCATCACCCGCCTTGCGCCGTCCTCCACGTTGCAACACCAGGCCATGATACAATCGATAAGATCTGTTCTAGTTCCCTCCAGGCACCCCTCAGCTGGGATATTGCAGTTCACTCAGAACTGAGTTGCGGGTTTGGTTGTTTGCCATGTCTGTTACTTTGGCACCGGTTGTCAGGACTAGAAACTAGTGGGGCAGCCAAAAAGTGTCTCGGTGGCAATGCCAAAATCTAGAGGACCCAGGAAATAAAATTATCAATGTGATCTGGGTGTGAATAATCTCGCCACCAGTCCCAAAAATCGATGACTCACCGATTCCCTCCATGGGTTTCCATGCTGCCACCAAATGGGGTGATGAAGACGAGCGTGGTGCTTGGAGGTGTATGGCCAGAGAATGGTGTGTGATGGGCCTGAAGGATATGCCGGTGCAGGTACATCACATCGGGATGCCTGAAGGGCAATGAGTTTAGGGCAGTGTACCATTTTGTGAAGAGGAGTGTTTCATTAGCTTTGTCTTGTTCAAGGATATGGGGACTGATAAAAAGATGTATTATTATTAGGTGTAACTACATATACAATGTTTTATAGTATGGCTACATGTGGAATGGCCAACGGACGAGGCAGGAGGCAGTGTCAGAGTAGTCATGGGATGCTGTGCATGCATGCACTGCATACCCGATAAGGCTAGTGAAATGACTTGTTATCCCAGTCTGTTGTTATGAGTAGACTTTAGGTGCTCAACGGCAACACTCAGACACTAACAAGGGACTCAAGCTCAAGTAAGTATTGAAAGATATTATCCTTAGGTTTTGACTACGAGGTTTTATAGTACAATGGGGCTATGCTACAACTGGGATGGCGCACGGACAAGATGGGAGGTGGTGTCGGAGTAGTCATGGGATGTTGTGCATGCACGCACTGCATACCCGACTAGTGATATTCAACAACGGCATTCACTGTTGATGAGGATCAGGACCCTTCGCATCTCTCTGCACCCATCTAAGCTTTCTCCACGGACCCAGCAGAGGAAGATCCTGCAGAGAAGCAACCTCAGTTCATCCTATCTCTTGCACTCGAGGTTACCTTCACGACTCTTAATTTGTTCTTTCTAAGAACCTGCTTGACTCCTTTGTCAGAGAAAGCATATGTCGCAAGGTGTGAATCGGACTCAAGGAGTGACTGATTTGATTGTGGAGTTGGGGATTTGATGAGAAGAAATACATAGTATTGTGGTGAAATAGTGGGAAAATGAAATAGTCAATGGGACTGCAACAAGTCCAGAGTTAGCACAATGAAGTGGGCAAGGATAGCTAAGAGGAGCTCACATCATATCACGAGAAGCAAATTGACGTGCTATTACCGGCCGAAGGTGGATGAAAGTGAACAGTGAAAGTGCCTTTGCAAAATAGGTACAGATTGATCAGCGGCATCGTCGTCACCTTCGAAGCAAGAGGCAGCTGGATTTGAATCCCAGTCACTAGAGGTATGGGATCCTAACGTTGCAAGGTTGGCTTGTTGGCCACAGTGGCTCTTGCCCCAGAGCCAGGTATGAACCATTCCACTCCGCTCTTCTTTGCGCATCACTCTGACAAATTCCTCGACAATTGGCCCTGCTTTTCGAGTCAGATCATGACCTGCCATACCCCGCATCCAAACACCCTCATCCTTCTCAACTTGTTGGAGGATAGTTTCTCTGGCCTCAATGAGATAGTCTCCCAATTCATTGAAATGAGCTCGCAGCTCGGCAATCTTTGAACTCGTAAGTGTGAGAACCATGCAAGAAATAATGCCACCACACCTCATCCTCATCCGATAAATCACTGCCATGGAGATTCACAACCTCGTCATTGCCAGCAGGGGTGAGATTGGTGTTGTGTGAGGTCTTTGGGTAGCTCAGCACACAAGGCTGTAAGTGATACAAGTTTGTGTATTTTACGGTGGTGTGTAAGCAGTTACCTGGAGGTTCCCACTTGCCCACGTGACTATATGTATCTAATTTACATGTGGCTCGGGGTTCGGGGCTATTGCCCTGACATTCTCCCCCCTTGCATTGCATTTGCGATGCATACAAGGTTGATAGTGAATAAAACAGAGTTTTAATAATTGATTTACATTGAGTTTGGAATTATCAATGAGTGTTTTGTTGTCGCCACTTTAAAGTGGGCGATTTTGTACATGTCAGTGAAGAAAAGAGAGGGGGTTTAAGGAATGAATGAGTGTGGGCCGTTACTTTGAAGTGAACGGCGATACATTGGTATCGCAGGGAGAGAAAAAAAATGGTGGAGTTTGTCGAAAATGAATTTCGACCCAAAGGTTGTATGTCTTTGGTGTTCCTCACTTGTTCTGTGAGGGTTCGTGTGTAAGTGGTGTTTACACACGAGCGGTGGTGGATGTGGGTCTTTTGATGGAGTGGAGATTTCTGCAATTGTTACTTGCAGTTCCTTGCATACAGTATTGTGTGCAGGGCCTCGAGTTGGGGGAAGGTGTTTTCACAGGCGCCTCAATGGCATATTACCGTGTCACTTTCCCCTCTCTCAAGGGTGGAGTCATTGCCCCGGAGGAGGGTTTTCCTCCGGGTTGTTCATCTGGACATCCGATTGCTGCATCGGATGCAATGACATAGCCTGGGCTACATTGTCGGGCTGTGGGCTTGACGAAGTGGGTGCTCCCTGGGTGGGAGTGGGTTGTTGTGTTCCTGAGCTGCTTGGCTCAGGTGTAGAGTATGGTAGGTCTACCGTTCTTCCCATGGGGAAGGGTGGTCGTTGGGCTGGTTGTCCAGCACGGAGACTTGCATCTCTTTCCCGGTATTTGGAAGCTTTCGCTTCCCGTTCTGCAGTTCTTGCGGCACGTTCCTCAGGAGTCCTGAGTGGTTTGAACTGGGACTTTAAGTAGGCAGCTTTGCCTAGACTTTCCCAGGAGATTTTTCCCTTATTCTCTGGGGAATTATATTCCTCCGCGAGTCTTGCGATACTCGGGAGTCCCAAGAAGTATTTCTCGGTTTCCTTCGCTTTTTTGCGAAGGGTTCTGTGTACCTTGCTGCTTTTGAAGGCTGCTTCGGCCTGTTCGTACCAGTGTACGAATTCTTTCCCACTCATGCTTGTCCACCAAGCATATGCACCGTCATGCACTGCTTCTGACCCTGCTATTCTCCTCATGGGGAAGTTGGGGTCGATTGTTATGTTGACTGGAGCTTCGACTTTGCCGAACTCGTTGAGTTCAGCGTTCTCATATAGCATGTGGACACTTCCCTGCAGGGTAGCTTGCCCATAGGGTGCTGAGGTACTCAGCAGCCCGCCACCTCTGGCAGTGGTCCCCGTTTTAGGGTCTGCTGTCGGTTGCCTACCGCTCTCCCTCTTCCCCTCAACATGGGTTTGCCCCTCTGAGGGCAGGCCCTTATGCAACCCAGACAGGGTCGCCTGCCCACGGGGTGGCAGGATAGTCGGTGCCCCACCCCTTGATGTGCTAGTCCCCATGTGGGGTCGTGCCTCATGAGGCCCGGAACCGTATCCCCTCCCCCTGACCTGGGAGGCCCCCATCATGATGGGTTTGGCAGTGAGGTCTGCCAGTGCGCGTGCCTCTCTGAGCTCGTGTTTCAGTAATTCAATCTCCCTTTTTTGGAGATCGACTTCTCTCTCTGTGTCTTTCAGAGAGTCAAAGATGCCCTCAGCATCTCTTTGTGCTCTGTTGTATTCGCGCCTCCAGTGGGCGCAATTGTTACGGGGATGGGGGAAATTCCCCATTCCTCGATCCGTTCTTATAGTGGGAAGGCGAGAGTCATGTCTAGTTTGTACCATAACTGGAAGTGTAATCGATGAGTGGTCCCAGTCTGACCTGGGAGTGGGCAATCGAATTCCCATCAATCGCGATGGGTGATGTAGTGAGCTATTAAGGGATTGATGATTGATAGTCGGAGATATCAGGACAGAAGGGTCAGCCACGGATACTTGGCGCTCCTCAATGGAGCGTACCGTGTGCGAGGTCGCGACTGGTGAGATGGGTGAGAGCCTCGCGTAGTTGCCATCGGGTACTTGGCGTTCGCAGTGCGAACGTACCGGTAGCGGGTTGATATCGTAGGCGTGCAATGAGGGCTGACTATTAAGGCCTTCGGTGACTTGGCGTTCCCAAAGGGAACGTACCGTTGGCGGGGACATGTGATGACTGGCAAAGGAAGAAACAGACGGTAGATGGGCGGCTACTTGGCGTTCGCGTAGCGAACGTGCCGGCATCGAGGGTAAGTGGGCCTCATAGTGTTCACGATCACCCTGATCGTGATGGGACGTCGTATGTTGAGTACTGGGGGGAGAGCGGAGTGATGAAGACCCATAGGGTACAGGTTCAATAGGACGATACACACGTCGAGAGTCTTCGACTCTCGACTTCGAGTTCTCGCGGCGAGGGCCGTTAGAGGACTCGATATAACCCGACTTATAAGACATAGTGAGAGTTGTACAGTCACACAGGTTCAGTTGAATCACAGGGAGGGTTGTTACAGAAGACGGTACACGAGACAGTTGTAGAGCAGTTGTTAGTTAGTTAGCGGGAACCGCCTTCGGCGGTTTCCGTACATGACGCGTGACTATCTACAAATGGTAAGGTTGCGGGAAATCCCGCGAAACACAAACAACCTCGGCCAGCACCAAAACCCCAATGGGGAAAGCTTTGCACGAGAGGGGGAAAGGGGTAGAACGGGTAAGGAGGATAGGGTAGCGGGATAGAGGACGGAAAGGAGAAAGAGGGGAGGAGCGATAGAGAGGGGAAGTCTTTGACCATGCGACGGATATGGTCGTTGGAGACTCCGTATCCGTAACAGCAATGGTCGCAGGCATCTTCTGACGCCCTCGAGTTATCAGACCGTGCCCGTTTGGACGGTCTGGACAAGGAGCTGCTGTCGCTCCCTCGTCTCCCTCCTACGAGGGACTTCATCTCTTTCAGCTCCTCACGGAGCTAACCTGTCTGAGCAGCTACCGCTGACACGATGGCTGATTCCCAGCCTGCATTTGGCTGGGGTGTTGTTGGACCTGGGCCAAATTGGCTAATCCAGGGGTTGATCTGGCCAGGGAAGTTCCCTGGGGAGTATGCCTGGGGCTGCAGCAGCAAATGCT